GGAGGAGGGCAGAGTAATGGGACAGGCTCTGGACTGGGGTGGGTGGGGGGGACTAAGGGGGGAATAGTCAGCGCGTGGGGGCGTCGGGAAAAGACACCCCCCCGGAGGGCTGGGGGTAGGATGAAGGCACAGATCTCAGGTCTGGACTGGGAATTGGGCCCAAGGCCCGATTTTCTTGGAATTAAAAGGTTAAGATCTATGTGGAATGTTGTGTCCCAGAAACCTCTTATCTGAAAGCCTGCGTCCGGGTTGGAAGTCGAGGCAGCTTCGCACTGTCAAAGTGACAGATCGTCCTGGCAAGAATGGGAGGGGCTGTTCTTCCTGATAAGATGCCAGTGAGCAGAGTTTTGGAGAGTATGATTTTAGAGAATCAAGTTTCTCGGCGAGGAAAGAAATAGTAACAACTCAAAGAAGGGATCTTTAGAACCCGGGACAGCTGCTGCTTAACCTTGGGGAAAGTGTTTTTCACGATAAGTCTGCACCTGACTCTGTCTGGGACTCTTATGCCAGCGTGGTGGATAGATAGGGCAGATTTTTACGTTTCGGAGTCTTTGGTGACGGATGCTGGGCTGTGACAGGGACAACTGGGGCTTTGATGGGGACATTCCTGGGCTGTGGTGGGAAAGTCCGGGGCGGTGATGGGGACAGTTTGGGAGAGTCTTGAGCTATCATGGGACAGACCTGGTCTGTGATGTGACAGTCCCAGGCTACAATGGGACGGTTCTCCATGTGATGGGATCAGTCCTGGGCCATGACAAGGACAATTTGGGGGCTTTGACTGGGAGAGTTTGGGGCTGGGGTAGGGACAGTCTCTGGCTGAGACAAGGACAGCACTGCATTATGAGGGGGACTCTTCCTGGGCTGAGGTGTGGGGGGTCGTCTGAAGTGTGAAAGACAGGGCTGAACTGTGACAAAAGACAGTCCTGGGCCTTGCTGGGAGGACAGTCCCCCATGGGGACAGTCCTAGGCTGTAATGGGGACACAGGGGAGGCTCCATCGCGTTGCAGAGCCCTGCCCTGTGCCCCTCCGCTCCCCCCCTCCTTGTTTCTTAATTCAGCCCCCACCCTTTTACACCCTTTGTCCCAACAGCCCATCTACCATCTGAGGGTATCCCTTGGGTCCGATCCCCGTGGCGTGGGGTGTCAGAAGGTGGAGCACCTTCCCTGAGCTGAGCTGAGACCCCTGTGCCTGCAGAAATGTCCTGGGAAGACGAAGACAGCTTCTCTCAGGACAACAGGGTCTTGATGGCCAGTGCAGATTTATAATCTGGACACTGTCCGGCCCCTTCTCTGTGCCCTGTGGGAGAGGTAGAGATATCTCTATCTCCTGGGTATCTCTGTCTGTAAATATCACCGAGACAGCTTGTTTCCTGGTGTCGGCTTTGCTCGTTTCCCCTGGTCTTCTTTCACTTTGTGCTGTCTGTCACCTGAAGCCTGGTCTCTGTCCACTTCTTCCTCCTTCCCTCAGCTTCTCTATATCTCACCCTCGGAATTTTTCTGGATTTCTCCAGACTTGACTTGACGTGAGTTTGTCTCCCTATCTGTCTCTCGTATCGGTCTGTCTTTATGATCGAATCTCTTTTGGCATCTCTTGTTCCTGATTTCTTGTTCTTCTCAGTTTTGTCTTCAGTGTGTCTTTTTAAAGGCTTTATGTGTAAGTAATCTCTCCACCCAGCGCGAGGCTCAACCCTCCAGCTCACCAACCCAAGATCAAGAGTCCCACGTTCCTCCGGCTGAGCCAGCCAGGCGGCCCCTGAGTTTTGTTTTCTGTTTCCGTCTGTCTCTTTCTCGTTCTTGCTCTTCCCTCTCTTTTTTTTGTTTTTCTCCATGTGGCTCCTTCTGAGGGCCACTCTCCTGCCCGGATACCTCTGTCCCCAGCCTGGGTGGCCATGCTGTCTCCATGCTGTGCAGCCCGGTTCCCTCCGGGACAGAAGCGTGGCCACAGACTTGTGTGGGCAACGCAGCGCCACCTAGAGGCCACGATGCAGACCCACACCCTGCTCGGCCGGCTGCTCTTGGGCCCACGCACTCCAGCCCCACTCCTCTGACTTCAGGGCCCAGACTTTAGGACCTGGCAGCCCAGCACCCCCCATTTCCCCAGGACTCACCTACTGACCAGTGACTGCTGCCATTCATGCTCACGTCCGCTCACCCAGCGCACAGGGCAGGAGCAGGCTACGTCCGCTGTTGTGGTGGCCCGAACCTCATGACCCAGCTGCTTTCCTGCCAGGCTGGGAAGGAGGCACTGTGAGGTCAAAGAATACTGGGGAGTCACGATCTCACGGTCCGTGAGTTCGAGCCCCGCGTCGGGCTCTGGGCTGATGGCTCAGAGCCTGGAGCCTGTTTCCGATTCTGTGTCTCCCTCTCTCTCTGCCCCTCCCCCGTTCATGCTCTGTCTCTCTCTGTCCCAAAAATAAATAAAAACGTTGAAAAAAAA